TTAGGGTTTAGGGTTTGTGCGAGTTCAGGTTCCTAGGGTCTGGGCTGCTGCTGCATACCCTTCTTTGCGGCCACTGGCTAGCTGGGTAAAAGACCTGGAGAAAAGGGTAGAAGTGGGGTGTATGTACACCTCAGGGGGCCCCACAGGGGGCCCCCCGGGGGGCCCCCCGGGGGACCCCGCTGCTACTGCTTGCCGCTGCTGTTCTACCCTTCTGGATTTGCTGCTGCGCTGCTGCAGCAAGCAGCAAGGCAGCAGCAAGTGGCAGCTGAGCTGCTGCAGCTGGAGTTTGAGTTTATGGGATTTGTGGAGCCTCAGTAAGTTAAATAAAATAAAAAATAAAAAATAAATTAAAATGGAAATTGCAGTTAATTCCAAAGAAATGAACAGGTTTGAAGAGACAAGGTGGCAGCAAACTTATTCATTATTTACTCATTTATTTATTTATTCATTTATTTATTATTCATTTGTTTATTCATTTATTTTTTAATTTATTTATTCATTTATTAATTTATTATTTTATTTATGTATTTTTTTAAATTCATTTATCTATTTACTTATTTATTTATTTATTTTATTTATTTATTTATTTATTTTGTTTATTTATTTATTTATTTATTTTTAGACTTCTGCCGCTGCAGCAGCGGCAGCCCAAGTTTGGGGTGTACATACACGGCCTGTCTCTGGAGGGGGGGAGTTGGGATTTGCTGCAGCAGCAACTCAGCAGCAAAACTACTTCTTTGATTTGTGAGCCATTTCCAGTAATGTTTGTGAGTCCTAGAGTCTCTGCAGCAGCAGCAGCAGCAGCTACAGCAGCAGCAGACACGGCAGCAGCAGCAAACGCGGCCGCAGCAGCAGACGAAGACGCAGCAGCAGCGGAGGCTGCTGCTGCAGCAGACAACGAAGCAGCTGCAGCAGCAGCAAACGAGGCAGCAGCAGATAATGTCTACAGCTGCCCAGTATATGCAACTGCAGCAAGAGGAGGGCCAGGTGGGATATAAATAAATAAATAAATAAATAAAACAAATTAAAAATAACAAACAAATAAATTGGTTAATAAATAAATGAATAGATTAAATAAATAAATACTTATTAAGGAATGGGGAAGTCTCCAACAAAGAAGTAAAGGTCCTTACACAGCCCTGCTGCTGCAGCTGCTGCTGTTGCTGCTGCTGCTGCTGCTGCTGCTGCAGAAAACTGCGTCTTATCGGTGCCACTGCCAACAGCAGTGCCTTCATCTACTTGCATCCTCAGAGGCACGGCGCTGCTGCTGGAGCCTAGAGAATGATGTCAAATTGCTGCTGCTGCTGCTGCTGCCGCTGCAGATGGGGCTGCAGCAGCTGCTGCAGTAGCGGCTGCAGGTGAGGCACTTGCTGCTAGTGAGGACGTCAGGACAACTGCTGCTGCAGCGGCTCTGCTGCTGCAGTCACTGCTGCGGCAGCAGAAGCTGGTGCTGCATATGTACAGCTTCTTGCTGCCCACATTCTTGCCTCTTTTGCTGCTTCAAGGGCAGCAAATAAACCAAATAAATATTATTTTCTGCTGAACCTAGGACAAATTCTAAAACTGATCATTTTGCTGCTGCTGCTGCTGCCGCTGCTGCTGCTGCTGATGATGATGATGATAATGACGGTGCTGCTGATACAGCAGTACCAGCGGAGCCTTCCGCTGCAGCTGATGTTGCAGTTGCTGTTGGCGCTGCTGCAGTTGCTGCTGCTGCAGTTTTTGCTGCTGTCGCTGCGCTGCAGCAGCAGCAGCAGCAGCAATATATCTTGCTGCTGCTGCAGCTTTTAGTCCAAAATGCCGCAGCAAAGCCTCGCTCCACTCTGTCTCCTTTTATTGGTTTTGTTAATTATTTTTTCATTTTTAGAGTTTAACAAAGAGACAGAAGCAAGGGGGTCTTGCTGAGGTGTATCGACACATAAAACCGACAGCAACCCCACTTCCTGCAGCAGCAACAGCACCAGCAGCAGCAGCAGCAGCAGCAGCAAATATGAAAGACGCTGGGCTCCTGCATTGCAGCTAAAGCAGCATGAACAGATATAAAATTAAAAATAAAAAAAACAAAAAGAGACAAAAAAGAATAAAAAGGAATTTAGAAAATAAATAAATTCAAAGAAATAAAAAGACATAAAAAGGAAATAAAGAAAAGTAATTCAACAAAACATAAATTGAAATTGGAATAAATGAATTATTTTAAACAAATTAATTAATTGATTAATTGAAACAAATGAACTAATTAAGACAAATTAATTATTTAATTGAAGAGAATAAATTACTTACCTAATTAATTAAAATAAATAAATTAATTAATTAAAATAAATAAATGAATAAAATGATTAATTAATTAATTTAATTAAAATAAAACAAATACCTCTTCGCTGCCTCTGTAGGGACTTTTAGTTGCTGCATTAACAAGCGAGGCGTAGCCCAAGTAAGCTGCAGCACCCTGCTGCTGCTGCAGCTGCTGCTGCTGCTGCTGCTGCAGCTGCTGCTGCTGCTGCTGCTGCTGGGAGTCTGTGCTGTATGTGGGGCAAGTGAAGGCCCGGGGAAAAGGAGAAAAAGACTCTGTGTTGCTGCGGGACTGCAGCGGGCCTGAAGAGAAGCAGCAGAAAGACAAAAACGCATTTTAATATTTATTAAATCGATTTAAATTATTTAAATTAAATTAATTCAATTCAAATGTATTTAGAGTGATTTTGAGGGTTTAGAGGCGTTAAAATTACCTAAAATGAGTTAAAATAGATTAAAGGGATTAAAATTGATTTAAATAGCAGCAGCAACAGCAGCAGCAGCAGAAGCAGAAGCAGCAGCAGCAAATGCAGCAGAGAGATAAAAGGAATGACAGAGACACAAAAGAAGACAACTTCAGCAGCAGCAAATAGCAGCAGCAGCAGCAGCAGCAGGAGACAGCAGCAGGGGGAGACAGCAGCAGCAGCAGCAGCAGCAAACAGCAGCGGCAAACCGCAGCTGCAACAAACAGTACCAGGAAAAGAAGCAGCAGCAACAAAGAGCAGCAGCAACACCTGCTGCTGCTCGATTCAAGTCAGGGTTTAGGGTTTAGGGTTTAGGGTTTAGGGTTTGAGTAGAGGAATTCGATTGTGTGGGCTGGCAGTGTCTTTGTTGCTCGCTATCTGCCTCAAAGCCTCACACGGTATAATCCGCAGGGTTTAGGGTTTAGCGTTTAGGGTTTATCTCACCGCCGTAGAGGGGCAGATGGTAGAGGGGAACGCTGTCATCCATCTTGTAAACCCTCGGGGGACGGGAAAAGGGAAATATTTTGCAAAGCTGAAAGAGTTTTTGCAAAATAGAATTAAATTAAATTAACAAAACTAAAAGAAGAAGCTGCCTCGGGTTTTCTGGCGTTCTCGAGGTGTACGTACACCTCGGCGCCGCCGCCGCCGTCGGCTGCGCCAGCAGCAGCTAGCCACTCAAAACGGGGAAATGAATCGGAAAAGTGCATTTTAAATTCAAAAATTTGAAATAATTCATTAAATTAAAGTCAAATTGCTCCAAAAAAACCCATTTCCTTTTTTTTCCCGCCCTCCACTCCCCAGCACAACGGCCCACTGGTCAGCCCCTGTCTCGAGGTGTACGTACACCTGAAGCCCCTGTCTCGAAGTGTACGTACTCCTCAAAACCGTGTCCCTTTCACTTCTTTTAATTTTTTCAAAACCCTAATGCGACATTTCCTAAACCCTAAACCCTACCTCGTTTGTTTCGGGAGGTTGCGCAGCGGAGACCCCGGGGGTTTTAAGTTTTAGGGTTTGTAACCGTAAAACCTAAACCCTAATCCCTACAAATTAACCTACAGCTCAAACCTGAACTCCTCGATTGCCTTCGCTAAAAAGCCTAAACCCCCAGCATACCGCGTACTCGCTACCAAACCCTAAACCCTAAACCCTAAACCCTAAACCCTAAAAACTCTAAACCCTAGTTGGAAGCCCTCGGGTTTCCGCCAATCAGCAACAAAGAAAGAGAAAGCGGTAAAGACAAACACATGAAAAAGAAAAGAGAGAAAAAGAAGCGTTAAAGAAGACCAAAAGAAATAAAAGAAATAAAAGAAACAAAGGAAATAAAAGAAGTAAAAAAGAACTACAAAGGCGCTGCGGTGTACGTACACCTGGGGCTGCTATCGCTGAACTAATTAACTGGTTTGTTTGTCTCTGTTAATTCAAAAGAAAAAAATAAATATTTACCTAGAAAGAAAAAGGAGACAGAAATAATAAAAAGCGAAAGGCGCACAAACACACGCAATCAACACACCGCAAGAAAATGCTGCTGCAGTACCAGCTGCTGTAGCCGCAGCAGCAGCTGCTGCTGCTCCTGCAGCAGAAACAGAAAGAGAACGAACGGCCAGCAGGCACAGCAGCAGCTGCCTGCCCGTCTACCTCGCTGCCTGCGCCAGCTGCTGCTGCTGCTGCTGCTGCTGCTGCTGCTGCTGCTGTTGCTGCTGCTGCTGCTGCTGCTGCTGGTCTGAGGCCTGGTCAAGGCAAGTCTCTGCAACAGACTGAAAGAGCTTCTCCACCTCGGGGGCAGCAGACACAAAAGAGCAGCTCCAGAAATTAAACCTGAGAAGAAAAAAAGAATTAAAAAATAAAACGAAATTAAAAAGAAACAAAGAAACAAAAGAAACGGAGGGAATAAATGGAAATAAACGGGAGAAACAAGTGCAAAATAAAACAACAAAAGGACACAAACGACCCGCAGCCCGAACCCTAAACCCTAAACCCTAAACCCTCATTCCTAAGCGCCCGAAAAAACCACCCAAGAATCCCCAGACTGTGGCGTTTCTCCCGCCGCCACCCCTCCCTCCCCCCCCCCCAAACCCCAAACCCTAAACCCTAAACCCTCGCTACCGCTGGTTTTTGATGAGCTCAATGAAGGTGATGAGCAGCCCCCACGGGTGGGGCCTGTGCACAATGAGGCGCTCGAGCAGCACGCGGGTAATTTGCTCCTTCGCAAACTCCTCTTCTGCTGCGAAGAGCTGCAGCAGCAAACAGGAAAAGAAAAAGGTGTGGGCGTTTGGGTAGCGCAGGTGGTTGGCAATGGCGGAGAGCAGCAGGTAGCGGCCCTCGACGTCGCTGGCCCTGAAGACGTACGCCACCACCTCCTGCGCTGCTGCTGCTGCTGCTGCTGCTGCTGCTGCTGCTGTTGCTGGTGCTGGGTCGCAGTCGCTGCTCGGCTGCGGGGGGGGGGCGGGCGGCCGCGGCTGCTGGCCGTGGTTGCCCAGGTACAGCAGGAAGGCGTTGATCACCGCGGTGTCGTACTTGCTGCTGCTCGCTGCTGCTGCTGCTGCTGCTGCTGCGGGGGGCGGCGGCTGCGGCTGCGGCGCGCGCGGCAGCAGCAGCTTGGGCAGCAGCTGCGGCAGCAGCGCGGGGTCCCGCCGCGCGAAGTAGGCGTCCAGCAGCTGCTTCAGACCCCGCGAGTGCAGCAGCAGCAAATACGGAGACAAAACAGCAGGAGTGTCCCGAACTTCCGGCAGCAAATCAACTTTCAAGGAAGCAGAAAAGGGATCCGGCAGACGCATTGCTCTCGGAAACGCCGACAGCACCAAGTTCCGCAGCTGCACACAAGTGTGCGGCAGCGAGCAGCAAATGCTGCTGCTGCAGTCCCCCAGAAACTCCGGCGCGTCGTGCAGCAGCACCAGCAGCAGCCGCAGCGCGCCCCGGTACAGCAGCCGCGCTGCAGGCGTCAGCAGCTGCTGCTGCAGCAGCATGAACGGCCGCAGAAACCCAAACAGCTCCTCCAGCAGCCGCTGCAGCAAACCCCACAGCTTGCTGCAGCGCGCCAGACGCGGCAGCAGCAAGTGGTGCCCCACGAGGTCCAGCCACGCAAACGCGAAACTCGGAACCCGCAGCGGAGACAGCAGCAGCAAACGCTCTCCTAGGGTTTGCAGACACCCCAAAGCTTGCTTCTCCTGTCCCCTTGCTTCCAAGTCCACCACCAGTTCTTTTATCAGCAGCAGAAACAGCCGGTAGTACGCCCGCTGCTGGA